AACAGCTTCATTCTCTATTCAATTTTTTTTTTCTTTTGCTCTCTCTCTCCTTGCCTAAGCAGAAGTCACCCTAGCATCACCTGGAGAGAACTGGCTCCATCATTTAACTCTGAGGCACAGTCCTGAGCTGCTCCAACCTAAGAGTTGTCCCAGGGGATGCCGTGACTCAAATGCATCCCCTCTGAGGCACCGCTCCGACTCGACTTTGTTTTGCTGGGGTTAGGCTCTGCTCCTTGCCTCTCCTGAACTCTGCCTGCTCATTTGTTCTTGTTTCAGAGAATAAGCAGATAGGGGAAGGAGGAATGAGTGGTATTTCTTCCCTAGGCAAGTTGGTAGTCACAAGCTTGCCCATAGTCTAGCTGCAGCTGTCCCTGCAGTCCATGGAAAGAGTCTGAAGAGCTCTATAAAATCCTCGTTTCTCGAGGGTGAAAATAAAAATAGTGGTCTATTTCTCATCATGGAAGCCCAAGATGAAGGTAAGAGGAGGAAGGAGACAAAGGAGGTAAGAGAGAACCACACCTTGACTCTGTGCCTGATTGACCAGTCACTCAGAGCAACATATGCCAGGCGTAACTTAAATATGGTTGATTTATACTGCTAGGAAGCCCGGCATGGATGAGTAGAGATGCAGGCCTAAGAACCCATCGCTCCAAGCGAAGCCCTGATTACCCTAGAGCAAGTTAGATGTTACTGTAAATGGGTGACCCTAATAAGTACAGCAGTTTGAAACATGCACGGGAAGGGAGTCACAGAACCAATATTGCAATAGGAGAAAGGCGGCAGCTTTGCACAGATGGCACAGATCTAAACTCTGCTCCCAGTCTGGGCTGGTTCAGTTCCCAGGGTTTGATCTGGCCTGGGACAGAGATGGGTACCGAACGCCAGAACTGCATCTGGATGCAAACTGAGCCAGAGTCTGATGCTGTTCCAAGTTGGAGGTTTGGTTCAGGGCCGTGTCTAGGTAACAGATGACAAATAGTCCTTCAGAACCGTATTCCCGACAAGCTTCTGCTCTAAGGACTGCAATAAGGAAGCTCGAGTGAGCTCGATGGAGAAGATGAAATGAACTAAGTGCACTTTCACTTTTCAGCGGTAATTACGTTGTGTTTTAAGCAGAAGGGGAGGGGAAAACTTTTCCCATTTTTCCCTTTATCACGGTGGTCTGGGATGCAAGGAGTCTTGATCGCCCGGATCACCGCCAGCGAAGGCTCTACCTCCAGAGGCCTGCGGTGCCTGGCATGGTTCATTGGGAGCCTTCTTGCTGCATTGCTATGTCACATCCAGCTTCAACAGCCCGCGGCTGGGACACTGTCTCTGGTCGTGTGAGCTGGGGGAGAAAAGAGCAGTTTCAGTCCCAGTGGCCATGCACATCCTACGTCCTCTTCGTGATCCACTCCAGGCACCGAGCGTTTACACACTGCGTATGTGTGTGTATCACATCCTATAGCACGTGCAATACAGGAGTGTCAGTGGGCCCTCTGTAGACGTCCATTCGTAGGCTTGCTCTCGCTCTGCAGAAGCACTATATGCGTCGCTTCATGCTATGGCGTATCTGGCAGAAGCCGCTATGTTAAAAAGTCCTTGCTAATAGCTTGTCTGTGCTATAGCGCTGAGGAATGGTTGCAGACTTCTCCTGTTCCCAGGAGAAGGAGGATTTTTTTAATTAATGAATTAACCCTTTTAAAATTTATTTTTGCCACTCATTTTATACGCAGCATCTTGGCATTGGGGATTTCTAATATAGCCTCTCCCCTGGTTAGGAAAAGGCGGTATTTAGGAAAATGCAAGTCTTTCAAAGGGCACTTGATACCATGAGTTGCTCCTGGAAAAGGGAAGGGAGAAGCAGACTCATGTTCTTGCTAATGATCTTCTTCCCAGTTCCATGTTGTTGGCTAGTTAAAGAAATCACAGTCTCCTACAGGAGGGATAATCTGGGCACAACCTTTTTGTTACCTGCAGGTAGATCTTGGGAAAGCCAAGAAGTCATTAGACCTATTCTATCCAACCAGTTTTAGCCTTTTTATTCTTTTAATATAAAAAAGTAGCGCTCTCTCACATACGCAACCTCGGAAGATGTAGGCTCTAGTCTGTTCCTCCACGGGGAGCCTGCAGAGAGACGTCCTGCTTTATTTGCACGTGTGGACATCATAGACTCGTATGCATTCCTGACAACGGACATAGCAACACCAGTGGAAGATACAGTGGCACTTCTCTTTCCTTTTCTCAGTCCTTGTGTTGTGCCCGCGGCCGCAGCACAACAGGTCGCATCCATCTATCCCGTGGGAGGTGACGTTGCAGATCCGATCGCGGGTCCCGAAGGAGCCGGTCTCAGGGTTCGGCTCGCAAAAGTTCGGTGAGTTCTCATAGTAAACCAGGTCTTTCTCAGTTGGGGCCTTGAAAAAGTTGTATTTGGGCCTCAGCGTCTCCACCCAGCCACGGGATTCCCGGTGCTTCTCCACGACCATTTCGGAAGCGCTGTCGTACTTGTCCTTGAGATAGTCACCGATGACCCTGAAGTCTGGTTGGGACCACCAGCACGTCTTCACTTCACAGCTGCCCGACAGCCCATGACATTTGCACTTGAGATGCATGAGTTCAATAATAGACTGGAAAGAGAAGTGGGGGAAAAAAGGAACAGGGAAACTATTATGACACTGTTATTTCTCCAACATTTCTCATCCTAAAGAGTCCCAGGGAGTGAGAGAGATCCTTAAGCTGCTGTGAAATAAAGCTGCATTAATGTAGCTCGGGGCGGGCAGTTGTTTTGGGCGGAGGGCCGCTTACTGAGTTTTGGCAAGCCATCGAGGGCCGCATGACAGGCAGGCAGGGGCAGATAAATATTAATTTTCTAAATTTTTTAGGGGCCCCGCAGGCCGGGTAGAATGGTCTGGTGGGCTGCATCCGGCCCCCGGGCTGCATTTTGCCCACCTCAATGTAGCTACATCACATATAGAAGTCATATGCACCTAGCTCCATCATGTGTCATTTCATCCCATGTCAAACCTGGCAGAAAAGCCAAGGGCTCCTGATATACAAAGCGGTTTCGCTGCTGGATGAAGTCACTCCTGCGTAGGAGTGTGGAAACACCCCCAGAACTGCATTTGCTCCAAACGTTCCCTTCACCCAGGAGTGGTAGGCAGCAGTTTAGTTGCTTGTCATACATCTGCTGGGACATTACTAATGGCTTTGGTAGCAAGGAGACTTACAGAGACTTTTCTACAAGAACTTGAGAGTCTGATGCGCCACCTGCCCACAGAGTTGCTGGATTTTCCCCTTCCTATGAATGGCTTTTTAATAGTGGTCAGTCAAAACGGCCAAGAGATTGGGACAGGACATAAAGAAGTATTTGTTTGTTGTCTGAAGCCATGGAGAAAATGCCGCGGTAGAACGTACTGTGAATATCAAACCTGGGATTTGGTTAAGGCGCCCACAATAACACTCCCTTTTCTTTCCAGAAAGAGAGGCTCAAGTCAAGGAAGGGTATCGCCAACTGAATCATCAGCTATTTCCTGCTGCACCCTTTGGGTTTTCTCTGAGGGCTTTTGAGGATGCTGAGCAGGTCAAACCTTGATGGCTGAGGGCACAACCACAGCGCTCCTACGTTTTCTCACCAGCCTCATAATAGTGAGCATTTTCTTTAAAATCACATCTCCCAGCCAGGTGAAATGGTGCAAATCTCAGCTTTTGTTAAAACAAAAAAAGTCTAGCTCTCGCCTTCCTGGTTGCAAAAGATTCAGAAACCAGAAGATAAAAGGGACCCAAATTGGCACTGATATTTTTTAAAGCAATATCTTTTTCTGAGTTTTAAACCAATCTTTTGATTGTAGAAGCCTGGTTCCTGATTTCTGAATCCTTCAAGCTGGGATTGCTCCATCTGTAGGGGGGCCGAGCTATGACATGGAAAGGGTGAAAATTCATCCTTGGTTGATATGATAGCTGTGGCCATACGTTTCAATAAGAGTCCTGCCGCCTTTGTCTATGGATGAGGTCGGTCCACAGATTTCAAAGGCGCTTAGGCGAGAGACAGCCTTATGCAACCGTACTCAATAAGCTGCATTTCAGACGGATCAGCAAATTTCTGGGTGCATGAACAGACTAGCTCCAGTCTGCATCTAAAAGCTATGCCATGAATCAGCACCTATAGTGCGTGATCAATGTTTTCCAGGTGGTTTTTCTTTGTGATTGAGGTAGCATCACTCACTGCTAAGGAGGTTGTAATTAGCTCCGAGAGAACCACAGAGTGTCTGCTTTATATAATAATGCTGTTCTTAATCAAAGCTTTCGGTCTGGAGGCTGGATTTGAATTCTTATGGGAACTGGCTTGAAACATCTCCGGCGGCTCGTTTTTAGCTGGAAATACTCGAACATGGAGACTAGGTACACTCACCAAATAAGTGTTGGTGTGATGAGAACGGGAAGAATAAGCTGTTTATGGAACAAAAGGATTTAGCTGCCAAGGTGTGGTATCTGCTATACACCCTATGATATTTGTGAAGGGCCTAAAACCAGTAGAGAGTCTCAAAGTTAGATTGGGAATGAAAACAAGCCCTACGAGTCTGAATTATACCCATTGAGCTCTACATAGTATTTTCCCATTGAGGCTCATTAGATGGCAAAATGCACCTTTTCATCCTACCCAGCTCTAGTCTTTATTCCTATAGCCCGTTACCATTGGAAGTGCTGGGTAACTCATGGCACCCGTGTTATTCTGGCCAGCTTTATAGCCACGTAAATATTTCTTTCATCCTCCTCTGCTAGTTTCATAGATTTCATAGACATTTGGGCTGGAAAGGACCTTGGAAGATCATCAAGTCTAGCCCCCCGTCCCAGGGGCAGGAAGTCAGCTGGGGTCATAGGATCCCAGCAAAATAAACATCCAAATTTCTCTTGAAGGCGTTCAAAGTAGGTTAGCGGTGGTTCCCTGACTTTGTGGAAGGATGGCATCTCTCCGTTTAAGAGGGCCGTGCTTCGTGTCTAGAGCCACATCCTTCATTGGTGGCAGAATATCCCCAATGAGGATTCATGCTTCTCCGTGAAATGAGGAACCCCCCCTGAAGTTTTGGCCTGTCCTTGATGGGGGTCCCATAGACTGGTGGAAATCCACGATGACTTCATAGGTTATCCACGTGTGCAGTCATACGTGTTTCTACATACATGAGCAGGGTCTGCTCCCACTCCCATTGACATCAGTGGCAACAAAGGAGTAGAAACAGGCTGATTTATGTTGATTCTATTAGTCACTGGTACTTCTCTTCTATATAGGATAAGCAATAAGGTCTTGTTTTGTGTGGGGAGGCATCAGGACGTGACTCCTGTAGAGGCTGCTGGAACAGTTGACTTTAAGCCAAGAATGCTTCCTAGACTGAGCCTCTGGAATAGGCCAAATCTTAGAAAATTAGGGTTGGAGGGGACCTCAAGAGGTCACATCTAGTCCAACCCCCTGCTCAAGGCAGGACCAGCCCCAACTACATCATCCCAGCCAAGGCTTTGTTGAGCCAGGTCTTAAAAACCTCCAAGGATATGGAGATGTCTCTAGGTAACCTGTTCCAGGGCTTCACCACCCTCTTAGTGAGAAAGATTTTCCCAGTATCTAACTTAAATTTCCCTTGCTGCAACTTGAACCCAGAAAGGCCACAGTGTAATCTGGCAGTGGCATGGTTGGTAATGAGCTGTTTTCCCTTTGGGGAATCAGTGCTAACCACCAGTGCTGGGAGCAAATGTAGGTCTACTGGGGCCTGAAGAGACACAGAAAAGCCTCTGTGAGCACAGAGACAGTCTTGGGGCCATGGATTTATTATCCTGAGTTTGGGTGCTTCCTTCAGCACAAGGCAGGCAGTGAGTGGCGTCTGAGGCTCCCTACACAACGCAGGGGGGAGAATTAGGGACCTTGGGGTTAGACCCACACAAAAAAACCTGCTGAAACCAGCAAATGCTAAGGTGTCTTGAATCCTTTGGGGGCTTCTTTCTAACACAGAACAGGGGTTGCCCCATCTTTGCAAACACAGCCAGAAGAGGCAATGCTGCCGCAGCCCCTCTCCCCCCCCATTATACACTCACTAGTGGGTATATAAGACCTATCTTCAATTCCAGGCTTGCCTTGAGGAGATCTAAAACCATCTCTTGGATCTCCTAGGAAGGTGGCTTTGATCTCCTCAAGCAGAGGAGGGCCTTCATGATGGGTCTCCTACAACCTGGGTGGGGGGCAGCCCTGCCTGCTCCTCCTTGTGCCTGCCTTGGGCTTGTGGGCATACTCTGTGGGCATCTACTCGATTGGGCTCGGTAAGGTGGCTAGTGGAGCCATGTCTTGACCTATAGATCCTGATCGAGCTTAGGTATGAGAGAGGTGCCTGCCAGGAGCGAGGCACTTCTAGGCAGGTGAACTTTAGTCACCTGAGGAAGTTAAGCATGAAAAACGGAGATGCCTACAGGTTGTGGGTGCCTTCAGGGCTAGACAGGATTGTGAAGGGGGTTTTCCTGGCTGCAGTTTTGAATGTAGATGCCCAACTTTCACCTAAGCCCATCTTTAGGCCCTTGGTTCCTTTGGTGGATCTTAACCTCTGTCTCCATGCTATGGCAAACCCATCTGCCCTGTGGACAGGCAGAGGTGGGGTCCCATCACACCCGTGCACTGGACAACGTGTTATCCTTGGGATCCGTACCCCCTGATTTATTAGTGAAACCAATCTCCTACAGTGCTGAGCCCAGGTACGCACTGGAGTTTCCTCCCACCATCTGTAAGGGTTTTAAGAGGCTACGAAATGCCTTTTAGGGTTGCAATAAATGAAAAGCAAATGGCCTTACAGTTCTCCCAGCTTCGTTGTTGTGTCTGTTCATGGCTGACCGAGCGTCTGGCCTGTTCTCCCGGGCGTCCGCGAACTCCCGAGACACCATGCTTCCAAACTCCACATCCTCGCTGCAACCTCCCCATTTCCAGCCTTCACCGGGGGGCCCTTTGTGGCGGGTGTCGCAGCCACAGATGGTGGCTGAGCCCTCAGCACAGGACCGGGTCACGGCGAAGGCCACGCCAGCAGAGGCGATGGCGTGGACGAAGGCCGACTCCCTGGTAGCTGTGGAGGAGAGAAGCGGGGAAGGATCTGTCACTCAGAGGGGGATGTGGCTGACCTTTCCCAACACAGGAAAGCCTCCTTCTGCCTGTAGTGCTACTCTTGGGAGGTCCTGTAGCAGGCAAGAGGCATTTCCGGCACTAGAAGACACCGTGGGTAAGAGCTAGATTGAATTCAAAGGCCTTATTCAGGCTTCACCCAGTGAATTTAAGATTTGGCCATAGCAACATAAAAAGCCACAGGGAGCTCTGTCATTGTCTGAGTCCCGATATCCAGCACGGATTCAGGTACACATGGCCTGGGCCCTGATCTCCTCCCCTCGGGAAGGGGACAGCTCCTTCTGTTGCCATGCTCTGCAACTTTTGGGTGCAACCCAAGCCAGATAAGCCACACACTTTTCAGATCCCTGTTACTGGTGATGGCTGGGGAAAAGTCCTGGTCCACAGGCACTCCAGCACTCTTCTTTCCTACTCATGGAAACCAAGGGCTGTTCTCCTCAGCCATCCTAAATCCGCATCTTCCTGCCAACTTGCCTGAGTCACAAGGATGCTCCAGCCATTACATTGCATCTTATGTGTCTCTTATATGTTTGCCCAAATGGGTGCCAGGCCCCTGTGCCGGGAGCTGGGACTGGGGGGAGTTTTCTGCCTCCCCTTCGGCTGGGAATGCAAAGGGAACCACTTTTAACTCTGGGCCGGGCCAACTCTAAAGAGTTCATGAGCATGAAGCACAGTCCCTACCTCTCGCCCTTTAGGCTCTTTAGCAAGAATTAGAGCTGGCTGGGGAATGAGCCACTTTCTAGGTGACTCATTCACTTTCCAGGTGGCAAAATTTGTTTCCATTCCACATGGGGAGGAAAATGAAACTTTTTTGAGCCTTCTGGTGGAACAGAACTGTAAAAATACATACATACATACATACATACATATATATGCATATATATACACATACATACATACATACATATATATATGTATATGTATGTGTGTGTGTGTGTGTGTGTGTGTGTGTGTGTATATATATGTTTAATTTCTCATCTGGGTCTTTCTGTCTGAAAATGCCTGAAAGGTCCTGAAGTGGCTCTCAAAAACGGCTCTGCTGAAACCGATACAACCCCTCAAAGTGGTCTGGCTTGGGACAGCATTTTTCTTTTTTGACGAAAGAAATCTTTCATCATCAGAAGTGAGCAATGAAGATGATAAAGGCGCTGGAATGCAAACCACATAAGGAAAGCTTGAGAGAATGAGGTGTGTTTAGCTTGGAGATGAGGAGATGAAGCAGGGACACGATAGCAGGCTTTCACGTTTTTGAAAGGCTGCCATAGAGAAGAGGAAGAATGACTGTTCTCCCCGGCCACGGACAGCAGGACAGGAGGCAATGAGTTGAAATTGCAGCAAAGTGGTTTTAGATTCTACCACAGGAAATAAACTGTCTCACTGTATAAAACATAGGATGATAGGAAAAAAATGCCTGGGGAAGCTGTGCAGTCTCATTCCTTGGAGATTTTCAAGAAGAGGCTGGATGGGCAGGTGTCTAGGATGGTTTATGCTCCATTTTTGGAGGGGTTTGGACTGGATGACCTGTAAAGTCCCTTCTGACCTATGATACTACGGTCAAAATTGTTCCAGTGAGCTCTAATTGCAGCCAAAAGGAAAAGATGGAAAGATGCCAATAAAGCGTACCCTTGAACCAATTGCCCTAGTGAGCTGTTTCTTTGTCTATGGCCTTCAAATCATTCAGATACACTTTGGCAGCACTCATACATCTTTGATAACCAGGATCCATGGAGATAATGGACCAGAATGACACAAGCTAGACCCATTGACTTCAACAAGCCTATGCCATACTGGCATCAGCTAATAATCTCTCTATAATTTTATTCCAGTCATTTTTGCACTGCATTTTTATGCATTTTATGCCCATTCTGGGCCCTTATTTTTGCTCATAATGGGAATGTATCACTTACAACTCTAAGCTATAGGAGAAGCAGGTTTAACAAGCTTAGTCAAACACCCAAATGTTCTCTGGATAAAAAACATTGCTAGGTGCTAGACAGCCTGGCCCATCTAGACTGAATGTTGGAGCCAGAATCTGCGCTGCCCTGCTTCCCTTTGGGAAAGCTACCAAGCTACAATAATATGCAAATGAAGGAAGATGCATGAAACTACAAGCAAAAGCTATGAGCAATGTCCTGGAACATAATGTCAGCGAGGTTAGTAAGTCGTTCTCAGGGGTTGATCCAAACAAATGTCTCCAGAGCCTCAAGTGGGACTTTTAGGCACTATTTAGGTCCATCCTACCCAGTCTTCTGCACCACACCGTGGCAGAGAGCGGATGATGAACGGCAGTGTGACCAGGTCATGACCAGGTGTTTTTCCCTGCTGCTGGTCCTTTCTCACTTGCTGTCTCCGGCATTTAAGGTCTAGGACATTTTGATTCAGAGGTTGCACCCCTCACTCCCAGGCTCAATAGCTACTGATGTGCCTTTCCTCCAGGAATTTGTCCAATCCCTTTGTGAATCCGGCTAAATTCTCCGCTTCTGCAACATCTGGTTCCAACGAGCCCCAAATTGTATTACATGCTATATAGAAAAGGGCTTTCTTCTGTTCGTTTTAAACTTACTATTTGCTAGTTTCATTTTGTGACCCCTAGTTCTTGTGTTGTGAGAGGCAGTAAATAATAAATCCCTATTTACGTTCTCTTCGCCGTTTAGTATTTTGTGAACTCTTACCATGTCTCCCATCACGCATCTCTTTTCTAAACTTGAACAGACCTAGCCTCTTCAGTCTCTCTGCATATGGAAGCCCCTCCATAACACTGATCATTCGTGTTGCCTTTCTCTCGACCTTCTCTAGCTCCTCTATGTCCTGCTGGAGGTGTGGGGACCAGAACTGGGCAGGGTATTCAATGTCTGCATGCATCATAGACTTATAAAGGGAAAGAATGACATTTTCTGTTGTGTTCACAAGTCCTTTCTTAATAATCCCTAGTATTTTCTTTGACTTTTTGATGGCTGCTGAGCACTACGTTGATGTGTTTAGTGAACTGTCCATGGAGACTCCCAGCTCTCTTTCCTGTGGGGGAACAGTTAAAGTAGAGCCCATAGTAGCGCAGGTCTCGCTTGGGTTATTTTTGCCCCGGTGCATCACTTTACACGTCTATGTTGAATTTCCTCTCCTCTGCCCTTTCATTTCCCTTTCACTTAGTAGTGCCAGATCCTTCTGGGCAGCGGTGCTCCCAGTCTCTTCTGTAAGACAGAGCTTGGCTCTGAGTAGCTTAGAGGTTAAAGCATCTATGTGGAGGAAGGGGGGAAACGTGGGCTGGAGGTCTAAATGTCACACAGCACTTCCCTGGGAAGATCCCAAAGAGCATTGCTGCTTGCGTTGTGTGGGGACCACCCAGTCCCCTTGGAAATGCAGCCACCTCTGGGGTGGAACACAGTCAGTGTTTAACAGGAAGCATGAAAGGCATATGTGGTCCTGGAAACAAGGACCTGTGCTGCGAACTCCTCTTGTCCCAGCTGAGTGCCTCAAACACCCATTATGGACTCAGGCTCCTTCTTGCTTGCTCTTTTTCTACCCTGTTAAATCTGGATTTCTTTTCTGCACAATGACACAGAAGCAGCAGGTTAAGCGAAGTGTCCCTCCCCAGCCTACCCCAGGCCCAGTGTTTAGGGCATGCTTCTGGGAAGTGGGAGATGTGCATTTGGACTTCCCAGGGTGGTTGGGATTGAACTCGGGCTTCCTACTTTCTGGGCAAGTGCTCCAACTAGGATGTGCTATCGAAGGGAAGCAGCATCACCATCTGCTCCCTTTGGCTTTGTTCTAGGGGGTAAAAACCCTTGTTCCTACTGAAATGTTAGGGATCGTGGTTCTATGCGGGTGGGTTAGTCATGCTCAGAGAACAACCAGCGGATCAAGCCCCGTGCATCGGTTTTCCCGGGGCAGAGGGAAACCAAGTTCCCGCATGCTGACTGGCCTTAGGGCCTCCTCAGCCCTGTCCAAGCAAAAGCACCTCTGAACATAGGCAGAAGTAAAACTTTCAAGCACCAAGGGACCTTAAAGACACAACCTGCAGTGCCTATGGAGGTTAGGTGGCAGCTAGACAGGGGTCCCTAGGACTTAGATACTTGAATTCCACCTAAGTTTCACCCGAGTTGCCAAATCCCTTCCTTATCGGTGCCAGCCCTTATAGAAACTTCCACACTAGGTTTTTTATTGTTCTTAATAACTTCAGATTTGACACAGCGCTTCTGCATCTCCAAAAGCAATCTTTAGGCTGTATTTTTAAGGATCACTCCCACGCCTACACAATGCAGGCTTGCTTGGGGTGGAACACAGCCATGCTTCACAGCATGAAGCTGGAAGTAAATGGCACTATGTTCAGTTGTCACTACCAGGGATTTCAGGTAGGCAGAATGCAGTCCGCAATCTAGCTCAGGGCCCCGAGGCTAACAATCCAACTTTGGAGAAGGCTGCCAGTTGATCCTTGAATGACAACAAATAATTAGGAGTCAGGACTCGTGGTAGAGGTGATCGCTTTTATTAGACCAGCTAGATGTTTGCAAAAAAAAAAATAAAATCTTTAATTGCAAGCTTTCAGGCACAAGTACCCTTCTTCAGGCATAGGAGAAAAGATTGCAAATGTTCTCCTGGGTAGAAATGAAAGTTCAAGAGAGTTGAAGGTGTGGTAATATCTTGTTTGGAACAGCTTGTTTTATATGCAGGTTAGGCTCAGAGAAAAGAACAGGAGATTTGACCACACCTTCAACTCTCCTATGAAATATGAACTTTCATTTCTACCCAGGAGAACTCGTGCAATCTTTTCTCCAATGCCTGAAGAAGGGTGCTTGTGCCCGAAAGCTTGCAGTTAAAGACATTGTTTTTTGGGGGGTTTCTGCAAAAATCTAGTCGGTCTAATAAAAGAGATCACCTCTACCATGAGTTCTGATTCATTTTGCCTCTAGGCCAATACAGCTACAACCTGGATACCTAACGAATAATTAGGGCATTGGGATCACATCTTTCACCCCTAACGTAAAGATGGGGCACTGGGTTCAGTTGTGACGCAGATGGAAGAGCACCATCTAGCGAATGACTTCCTGCAGCCAGGCTGAGGACGAGGTCCTTTCCCTAATTACTAAGCAGCCCTGACCCTGTAGAGCTGTGGAGATCTCACCAGGTCATAGCCCCAGGCAGCCTGGCTGCAGGAATGGAGAAGGAGTGGATAGAGATACAGATAAGCAGAAGGAAAGCATGCACTTGTAATGGAAATGAGGGGTTATTAAGGTGCCATATAAAAATGCAAGAGACTTTGCAGAGATAAGAGGAGAGTGCAATGTATTTGTCAGGGAGTCTCATTCCTCCCTGGGTGGTTCTGGAAACAGGCCACAGGCATCTCCTTATGACTTCAAGGGAGCTTCTGAGGAGCGCGATGGGAGCAGGAGGCTCCGGGGGCTGATCATTTCAACCACATTGTCTCAGGCAACGCAAGGTCACCGCGTGTCTGGCTCCAGCACATTAAGCTCACCTACTGCCTCTGATGACAGTCAAGATTTTAGAAGGGACAAGGTGGTTTTGGCCTGCTGAAATGCTTACGTGCCCCCTCTTTAAGTGAGCTGATCGTCGGCAGGTGCATGCTCGTGCACTCTGAATATCATGCTCCTTCAAGCTGTTTCACCAGGGTACCTCTGCAATTGAAATTGCTAGTGGCTTGACCTTCCCTCTCGCAGTGCTTTGTAGCTGCATATCCCTTCTCCCTGGCTCTGGACATACCTGAGTGTATCTTACTTGATGTCAGAAACCTTGCAGGAAGTCAGAGGTGTGTGGGCCAGTGGGGGAAGCGATGGTATCAGCCCGGAGAACTGAGAAGTGGGGAGTCATGAGACTTGAGACTTCATTTCCTGACTTCTTACGTGAGTGTGGGCCAGACCCTTCATTTCTCTGGGCCGCCGCTTCCTTATGCATAACGCCCTTATCTCACAGGAAGATTGCATTGCTATCTGCACTGTCTGTGTCTTAGGTAGAGGATGCAAAGTTACTCTTACAGTTCAGTGTTAACTGGTGGGGCAGGAAACTGCCTGTTCCCTCCCGCCCTCTTTTGTGGCATCTTCCCTGCCTAGTACATACCTGACCATATCTGGAGCATATCAAGAGCCACAGACACATGGGCTATTACGCTATGTGGGTACTGAAGCTATCGTTGCCTCATTTCTCCTGCGCTCGTGGGACAACTCAAGGCTCTGGTGCCTGGGTGGAGGGAGGAATCGGCCTGCCGGCCTGATTTAGGTTCACCATCTCCATAGAGAAGTGGGTGTTCAGATGTCACCGGCGCTTAATGTTTCTCCTGGCAAAGTCTAGGCAGCTGGGCCTGCAGGCTTTGGCCCCCTTATTATAGAATCACAGAAAATCGTAGAATCACAGAAAACGAGGGCGGGAAGGGACCGCCGGAGGTCACGTCTGGTCCAACGCCCTGCTCAAAGCAGGACCAGCCTCAGCTAGGAGGCTGATGATCATAGCCAAAATTTGTCTAGCCAGGTCTTAAACACCTCCAAGGATGGAGAGTCTGCATCCTCTGCGGGTACCCCGCTGCAGTGCTTTCTAGTGAGAAAGACTTTCCTAATTCTCCCTATGTACCATAGAGGGAGCCTAGGCCTTAGTTTGAGGTTTTGGATTCTGCTTTGGGGGCCAGGTATCTAACCTGGGAGTTCCCATTTTCTGCTGGATCTTACCTGCAGCCTGATCCCTTGCCTAGCACAGGCCAGGCAGTGGTGGCGAGATACCCAGGGGCTACCGAATGCCTCTGCTTAGTGACCTGGACACTTTGAAAATCTGGCCCTGAACTCCTTCTGGAAGGTGTGTGCTTTCATCCAGCCCATGGCACTGGGCTCAACACAGGGGGAATGGTGAAATGCAATCGTCCGCGGGGAACAAGGAGTCCATTCAGATGGCTTCTTCTCTATTTAAAGTCAATGAATCAATACATTTCAAGCAGGAGTTCTTCAAGACGTGTCTGAGGAAGGGAAATCTGGGCCTGAAAACTTGCCCAACATCTCTTTCAGCCGTACAGTGAATCCAAGAAAAGATACCGCCAAGAAATCCTAACCTCTCTATCTAATAGCTTTTAGCTGAGACAAAACTAAGCAATCACAAATAGATCCAGGAGCATTCAGGCATCCAAAATGGGTCCTGGAGCGGATTGTAGGTGCCGGCATCTGGATCTGGAAAACCCCAGATTAATCCCAGAGGTGCCAGAACTCCCTGTTTGACATTAAATTTCCCCAGGGGCTTAGAGCCGTGCCCTGGGCAGGCCCACAACTGGCCCAGCCTTGACAGGGCTGAGCAGTGCCAGGCCCAGGCTGCTTGGGACCCAGGAACTGGGTGCTCCTGGATCTGGGAGCTGCCCCCCCAGCATGCCCAGCACGCACCGCTGGGCTCGGGCCCCATGCAAAGCGCATGCAGGGCCGCTGCTTTCTCTCAAGCCAAAGGGCTCCGAGGCGGTTCCTGCACGGTGCTTCATGTGAAATCCTCGGAGGTGAGCTGGCATTTTCCTGGAAATGCTGCAACCACTAGGCAAGCCCCTCTTGGGGTCTCTTTCCCTGGTTTAAGGCATCTCAAATTCCTTTCTGCCCAGCGATACGGTTTCCAAAAAAAAGCATAGAGCGTGTCCCCACCAACCCTCCCACCCCTAAAAGAGGCTGCAGGGTGGAGGTGAGGGCATTCTCATGGGAGATGTGGGTGTGAACCCCCTCGGGCATATCGGGGAAATGAGATTAGGTCTCCCATTTCCTGGGAAAGTGCTTTAACCGCAGGGCGAGGCTTGCCCGGTTCTTGGAAAGCAAGACGCAGGCATCAATCTTCAGGGGAGGTTTGCAAGCAGATCGAGACGCCTCCCCACAGCGCTCGGCGCAGGCACCCAGGTC